CAGGTGTCAGCACCTCATCACATGTGGGAACATTTCTCAGATGCATTCCACACTGGCTCAGAGGGTCCCCCAAGGGAGGAGAACCCCAAGCTGCCCACAGCTGTAACCAGCTCAAATGATTCCACTTCCCATCAAAGCTATTCCAACTCATAGTAACCCTATAGGATAGAGCAGAACTATTGCATAAGGTTTCCAAGGTTGTCATCTTTAGGGAGACAGACTGCCATAGCTTTCTTCCGCGGAGAAGCTGGAAAACCACCGGCCTTCTAATTAGCAGCCAAGAGCTTAACCATTGAGCACCAGAGCTCCTTCACTCATGTTACAATGCATCCATTTCTTGTGTTTTCTCCCTTTTCTATCTCACTCTCCCCACTCCTTCATTCTGCTCCTAACATTACCTTCTAAATAAACTTCCTGTACCCACATCCTGGAGTCCTGGTGTGGTGCTGTGGGTTAATGTGCTAGACTATAAAGTCGCTTTGAATTACAAGGTTGGCTATTCAAGCTCACCAGCCACTCCTCAGAAACCCTGTACAGGGTCGCAACGGACTGAACAACACTTAACAACAACAACAACCTGCATCCTTGTCTTAAGGCTTTCAGGAAATGCCAAAGATCTTCATGACTATCTCTTTACCTCTATTTTATGCATATCCAATAATATAATCTGTGTAATTTTGCTTAAAAGGAGCTCTGGTAGCGTAGTGGTTATGAATCGAGCTGTGAACCGCAAGGTCAGCAGTTCGAAACTACCAGCTGTTCCGCAGGAGAAAAGATGTGGGTTTCTGCTCCCGTAAAGATTTACAGCCTCAGAAACCCTGTACAGGGTCGCTATGAGTTGGAACCAACTCCAAGGCACATAACAACAACAACAATTTTGCTTAAAGGGGATCATAATACACTTGCACTCTAGAATTTGCCTTTTATTACTCAATAGTAGGCAGTGAACCTATTTTCATGCCAACAAAATAAATCATAAAACACATTTTTTCCCTAAATTTTATGTACTTTGTTATTGTTGTGAATATGCATAGTAAAACATACACCAATCCAACAGTTCCCCTGTGCACAATTGAGGATTGCATGGATTACAGTCTTTCTCTTTGAATTTATCCTCCCTCATCAGCTCACTATCCCCAATGCTCCCATCTAATCTTTCAGGTTTTGAGGGTCAATTTGACAATATAGATAGTTCTTAAAAGAGTATAATGCTCAAGGCTGACTTTTTTCTCTAGTTAAGCGAAACTTTGCTCAGTTTAAGAAGACGTCAGGGGGTATTTGTTGTTTAAGGGTTAAAGATGATTTCAGGGCAATAGTTTCAGGGGTTCAGCTACCCTCTAGGGCTCCAGAAAGTCTAGAGACCAGGAGAATTGTAAATTCTGTTCTGCATTTTCCCCCTTTGGATCGGAATTCGTCTATGAAATTATTGATTTAAATACTCAACAATGGTAGCTGGGTACCATCCAGTTCTGATCTCATAGCAAAGGAGGCAGTTGTCCATAGAGGCAATTAGCCACACATTCCATACCTTCTCCCATTCCTGACACTCTAAGGTCTTCCTTTGTTGCTCCAGATGAACAGAAACCAGCATTGTGCTTTGGATGGTCTCTTGCAAGCTTTTAAGATCCTAGGCACTACACAATGAACTAGAAGGTAGAAAAGAAGCACTAACCACATTAGTAGGACAATTAACTGGCATGTCCTATGAAACTATGACCCAAATCCTCCAAACCAAGAAACCAAATCCTATGAGGTATTTAGTTGTACAAAAGCAACATTAGCAACTACTTCTTTTGTTTGGTCATTATTGTAAATATACCTATCATACAACTTTTGCCATTCAACTTTCTGATAGGTACATTTATAACAGCGACACTTAATTGTCCTAATAGTGTGTTTAGTGCAAAGTAAAAATCTCTTTAAAAAATCACTACTGGTGATGAGACATGGATTCATTTCTACAAGCCTGAGAGTAATCTGCAGAGTATGGAATGGAAACATCTTCAATCACTGATGAAGAAACGTTCAAAAGTCAATCCTTAGCTGGAAAATTGATGCTTACAGTTCTCTGGTATTCTCAAGAGCCAATATTGGAACACTATCAGGAAAAAGGTTCAACAATCAACAGTGCTTATTCCAGTGAGATATTCACTGAAGATCTGAAGCCTAAATTTCAGTTAAACATAGAAGGCCTGCTATCCATGAACAGTGATCTTGCATGACAATGAACGTCCACACACCTCTGCCCACACTGCTGACACTCTGCAAAAACTTCATTTGGAGGTGTTAAAGCATCCTCCCTACAGTCCTGATCTTGCTTCCTTCGAGGTAATGAAGATTCACCTCTGATGAAGGAGTAAAGACAGTGGTGCATTCATGGCTCACAGCTCAGCATGAAACAGTTTTTAATAAGGGAATATGACAGCTTGTTGACAGATGGGCAAAGTATATTGAAAAGCAAGAAGATTATGTAAAAAAATGATGCATTTGTCTTTTCTAAAAGTTTATTAAAATAAATTCTACAGCCAGTGTGCAGATACTTTCTGACTCACTGTCGTATATTAGTTATTAGATTCTCATTGGATACATGGTTTTCGAAGATATTCTCCCAGTTGGTAACTTGTCTTTTCACTTTTTTGGTGAAGTATTTTGATGAATAAAATGTTTCTATTTTATGAGGCTTAATTTATTTATTTTGTGTTTTACTATTTCTGCTTTTGTTATTATATTAAAGAATCCATTGCTGAAAGACAGGCCTGACAGAATTGCCCCTGCTTGTTTTTCTAAGAATTCTATGGTTTGAATTTGTACATTTAGGTCCTTAATCCATTTTGAAATGGTTCTGTGTGTGCTGTGAGGCAGGGATCCTGCTTCATTTTTTTCTGCAGCAAGGAATTCCGTTTCCTAGCACCACTTCTTAGAGAGGCTCTTCTTTCCCCAAGGGATGGACTTAGCCCCCTTGTTGAATATCTGAACAGTTTTAAATGGCTGCATAGTAAGTCTTTGTAGATGTGTCTCATCACTTACTTAATTTATGACTATCTGAATGATTAAGTACTCTATTATGAACCAAAGGTTGACCTAAGTTCTGAGGAAAGATCTGATGATTACTTCTGAGCCGGCACAAGCCTGTAAACAAACAATTCTACTCTGCAACGTATGGGCTCACTAGGCATCGGATTTGACTTGACAGAGACTGGTTCGGCATTGGTTTTTAGGTAGTTCCTGAGTTTGCATTGGGATGAATATGCTCATGCACACATCCTTGAAAATGTGTGATGCCCTACATAGAAAAAATTCTGAGATGTCTGATTGCTTTATTGTTTCCAGAGTGCTCACCAATTATGTGTTTAATCATCTATGCTAGAATTTAAATAGAGGGGAATATTATTCTTAGTAGTTTAAAGGGTTTTTTGTTTTTTTACTCAATCTTCCTTTTTGACAAACAGGACATTTGCCCATCTTGCCTCTTGCCTTTCCAGACACTTTTTTCATGCACTGTAATTTCCTCCAAGGCACTGATCATATCTGCAAATGCCTCTAGGTCTTTGGGGAATCAATTGTCTGGGCTCCTAGGGGTTAGCTCATTGTAGATGGCTTGACATCTTCTTCCTATCTCTTACTTCTTTTGGGTTTCAGTTTCCACCTTTAGGCTCTTTACTTTACCCTTTGAAGTAAAATTGCCTGGGCCCTGCTTTGCCCAGAGTCCCCTGAGTGTTAAAGCTATTCCACGTGGCCCAGGCAGATTCCTTCTTCTTACGTTGACTTTGACTTGAAAAGCTCATTGCTCTGTCTTTGCCAGTTTTTCTCAGCTTCTGTTCTTGTGTGCTTTGCTAACACTATTCTTACGGAGTCTGTCACTCTTCGGCGTCATCTTGGGTAATGCATTTCCCCTTCGTCTTTTGTGTGTGTGGTTTTCAAATCCTAGCTTATTGGAAAACTACAAATGCAGCCTCTCAAGATTTTCTATAAAACCCCCAGTTCTTTCTTACCAGCAGCGTTTATATTTACAATTACTTTAAATATCAGGGTTTGGTTATCTCCTGCAACAACCATCTCTTACAAAGCATCTTATCTATTTTACCCTCATAGTAGCCCTGTGAGTGGATTTGGATGTTAAGTTTCTGCACCCAACAGATGAGCAACCAGAGGTACAGAGAGGTTTAGGCACCAACGCAAAGTTACTCAGCAGACGAGTGCACCAGCCCTTAGTCCTCCTGTTTGTTAGCCTAAATACGATTCCCCTTGTCCACACTGGCAGAGACAGGGGTCTGGGTCCCACTTGGTAAGGTATCCTTGGCCTGTGGCCACTGTCCTTAAAAGCCCTGGAGGTCAGAGCTGCACCTCCCTCCCCTTGCTGCCATGGAGAGAAATGATCTCTGCAAAAAAGTGACTCTGTCTGGAATTACATCCCCCTGCCCCCAACACCCCTACCCTTTCAGGCAGGCAAACAAAGACCCACTGCCCTCCAGTGAGTGGGTGCCAACTCACTGTGAGCCGATAGGACAGGGTAGGACCGCTCCACAGGGTATCCAAGACGAAATCTTTACGAGAGCAGAGTGCGTCATCGCTCTCCCACGGAGTGGCTGGTGGGTTTGAACCACTGATCTTGAGGTTGCCATCCCAACACCTAACCCACTGTGCCACCAGGGCACCAGGTGCTAGTTCTTTAAAGCTAGTTGCTAGTCTCAGACAAATCTCAAACAGGAGTACATATACACACACACACACTCTCTCTCTCTCTTTCTCTCTACAGGAACATAGTGGTACCACCCCGGACCTTCTCTCTTTCTTAGTGTCTCTGTCTCTGTTTCTTTCACACACACACACACACACACACACACACACACACACACACACACACACACACACACACACAGAGTATCTGGCTCCCGACAGTCATCAAAGATCATATACCCCTTCCCTTTTTTCCTCCCTTGGCAGACTGCTCCAGAGTCAGAACCCCCAGCCGCCCCCGCGCCCACCCCCAGGGCACTCACCATCCATGCTGCTGGTCACCTCGGGGACAGTCTCTTGATGGGGAGCTGCAACGACAGAGGGCTGTCTTCAGAACTCGGGTGCCCAGCCCAGCCCACGTCCTTGACTCTGCGCTCCGAGGGTCGCCCGGGTGCGGGCGTAGGCGGGCAGGGGCGTGAGCCAGCAGATCCGCCTTTCTCGGGGTCTCAATCCCCTCCCGCCCGGCGCAGCTGCCTGCCGTCCGGCACCTCCTCCAGGGTGGGGTAGGGGTGCAGAGGAAGCGAGGGAGGGGACCGGCTCAGCGCCGTCACCATGGTACCCGGCACACCTGTGCCAGCCTCTGAGTCCCCTGCCCGCCGCGCCCCGCCCAGCGAGGACACCCCCAGCACCCTTCGCGTGGGGGCTCCCTGTGCAGGAACTCCAAAAGCGAAGGCAGACCCCATATCCCACTGCAGCCCAGAACCTGCGTCCAACAATTGTGTCCCTCTCCCTAAGTCCCGCATCCCAGTCTCTATTCCCACTTCTCATCCTAGCTTCACTCAGACTGACCCGCCACCTGCCACCTCCCAACCCCCGCTCACCGTCTGGTGTCCAGACCCTAAGGACCCCCTGAAAAGAGAATGAGACAAGGCTACAACAGAGAGGGAGGGCCCCAGAATCTGAGCTCTCCTGAGAATGGGACAATGAAATGTGTTTGGAGGTTGACCACTGACTTCAGAATTAACCAACTCAGGTAAGTTGCTTCTCTGCATCCCAGTTTGTTACTGTATTTGTAAAATGGTTTTTATGGGAATAAATAAGATGATGTCAACCTTCCTGACCAGCAAATAGTAAATGCTCAACAAATGGTCAGTTGAGCTGGGTGGGTACCTCTCCTATCTCCAGCTCCTATCTGGCACCCAATAGACTTTTGCCTCAGGAATGAAGATTTGGATGACTGAATGGCATGTTCCTTCCTTTATTATGGTCAGGGGTTTATAATAGGGACTCTCGAAGCAGTTTGCCTCAAGCTTCTTTCTGGAATATCTGGAAGATCTAAGAGCTCTTGAGTCCAACCCTGACTAGGGGCAGGGGTCTCCATCCTAATGCCCAGCAGCAGATGCCTGTGCCTTCATATCACTTCCTCTGACCCCAGGACAGCCCTTCAGAGAGCAAGTGGGAGAGAGGCACCCTTCACATCTGCTTTTCTGCAGGTGAAACAGCCTGGGTTTCTTTGGGGGTTTTTCTCCTGTAGTTACCTCAGTTTCTTTATCTGTAAATGGGGATAATGATAGTACCTATCTCCTGGAGTCATTGGGCAGATTAAAGGAGCTTGGATCAGTGCCTGGCACATAGCAAGTACTCAAGAACCAAATCAAAAACCAAACCTGCTTCTGTCCAGGATTCCAACTCATAGCAACCCTAGACGACAGAGTAGGGCTACCCCATAGGGTTTCCATGACTGTAAATCTTTTCTTGTCTCTCTCCCCCCTTTCATTAACAGTCACATCATTGTGCTGTTATTGTTAACTGCCACTGAGTGGGTTCCAACTCATAACAACCCTGTCTACGGTTTCTAAGGAGCAGCTGGTGAGTTTGAACCACCATTCCTGTGGTTAGCAGTCCACTGTTCATCCTACAGAGTCACACCAGGACTCCCTCTAGTGCCTCAAGTTACCCTTGTGGCTAATTGCCCCATTCTTTAACTTCCTCACTTGTTGTTATGTGCTGTGGAGTCAGTTCTGACTCATAGCGACCCTGTACAGTGTTTCCGAGGCTGTAAATCTTTATGGGAGCAGAAAGCCTCATCTTTCTCCCACGGAACAGCTGGTAGTTTTGAACTGCTGACTGTGAGATTAGCAGCCCAATTCATAACCACTACGCTACCATCACAAAGGACCTTTTTCTTCCATCTCCCCTGTCTTCTTCTCTCATCATCAGAACATGTGGTACCATGCAAAATAAATTCAGAGGGCCCAGACTTGGCAGAGCTTGTCATGGAGAGAAGGATGTGGGTGTGAATTCTGCCTCCTTCATTTATTATCTGTGTGACCCAAGATAGGTCACATTTAGTCCTTTAACCTCATTTTCCTCATCTATAAAATGGGATTTGTGATGCTTCTTTTCAAAGCTGCTATGAGGATTAAAAGTCAATTGTCAGGCATATATATCTGGGGGCCACTAAGCACAGTGCCTTTCTTCATCCCAAAACTGGGATGGGTGGATGCCAAACAAGTAGTTTGGGTAAAAGTCTCTGTGTAGATAAAGAAAATTACCTCTTCCTGGAAGGGGCTTCCAGGCAACCTGAGGGGCCATCTACTGGGTTTCAGGCCACAGCATCCTCCAGACTCACCTGGTCACAGGTCTAGGGCACTCTTAGTCCTGAATCTTGGCTCCAGGCACCATTACGCCTGCTTTATGCAAGGCCAGTGGCTCACCCAACATGACACAGTGGGCAGTGGAAGACTGAGGCCCACAAAACAATCACCTCTCAAGGTTCATGGCTTCTAGGAACATTGAGAACACTTGGGGCTCAGTCATCCAGGGTATAAAAGCAAGTCCTGTCCATGTTGAGAAGCCCTGTCATCCCCTGGTCCTACAGGGCTTCCAGCCCCATCCACTATGGTCTAGCCTTGACCCTTCCTCTCAGTTACCCATCCCAGCCCCCAACAGCTGAGGCTGGGCTCACAAGGTGGTGGCCTAAGAGTCTTTTCACTATCCAGAAGATGGATTTCAGGAGGTGGCAGGAGAGAAGGACTGAGAAGGTCCTGGAAGCAGAGTTTCCTGTGCAGACTAGACTAAGTGCACATACGCCTAATCAGAGAAGGGCCGACATGGGCGGGGGGAAGAGGGAGAGGGCAATTTTCTGTGAATCCAGCTTTTGGGGGGCAGTAAAGGAGGGCACAGGGAAAATAGCCTTCTTTTTGTAAAAAACAAAACAGCAACTGCCTCTCAAGGGAGAGAATATTTAAGGGTCCGTGGTGGATTTGGAGAAACGGAGGCATAGCGAAGCCACCTGGCTGAGGTCCAGAGCTGGTCAGGGGCCATGTGTTAGGCCATGAGGTAGTGTGCTCAGGAGTCAGGAGTCTCAGGTTCGAGAGCCAGGTCTGCTATGGTGTGACCTTGGGCAAGTGGCTCAGCCTCTCCAGGCATCTGTGTGGAAAGGGGATGGAATTAGCTTGGGCTCGTTAGATGGCAATGAATCTGGTCTCCTAGAATTTTGTAAATGCCACTCACCTTTCTAGATTTCAGTGGACACAAACCTGAGGTCCCACCTGTCCCAAAATGACTTGTCATCTCTCCCCTCCCCTGCTGCATGTGTTGTCTTCAAAGGGAAGAAACCTGCCCGCATAGCTTGGACATAAACCAGATGGCAAGTGCCGGTCCTTTCAAGAGAGACCAGCACATAAATGCCAGTGGTCAGGTGTGACCATGTGGGCACTGATGCCTGCTTTTGCTCCCAGCTCTGGGAGACCCCTGCCATGTGAGGATGGAGGCCAGGGCTGCCAGCTTTCTCGATTTCTCAGAAGGCAAGCAGCCAGAGATCTTTCAAGAAAAAGCTTCTGGTTTAAAATATTGTTTAAAGTTATTTAAAACCCTTTTACAGGCCAAACTACATCCATCTGTGGGCTGAACTTGACTCTGAGCTGTTTTGCAATTTCTCAGATCTCTAGACATCAGTGGTCCTTGACACTGGCTACACATTAGAATTACATAGGAAAGCTTTAAAAGCAAACAACAACAACAAAAAAACCCCACTGAGACCCCAGTGCAAATCATGGCTCTCTGGTAGATAGGGTCTGGGCATTGGATGGTTTTGACGGTGCTGATATGCAGTCCCTCTTGGCTTTGCCCTTTCCACAAAGATCCTGGCTTTATAAACACATGAATAGTTGGTTGGATGGATGGATGGATGGATGGATGGATGGATGGATGGATGGAAGGATGGCGTGAGTGTATGAGTGAATAAATGATCACTTTGTCTATGGTCCAGCTCATATACTGTCTCAAATAATGAATCCAGTTGTGTCCCTCCCCTGCCTACACTGTCTTGCAGGTTTCCAGGTACCTCCCAGTTTAAACCCAAACTTCTCCACATACCATACAAGCCCCCTAATGACCAAGTCCATGTCCAGGCTCAAACCTTCCTGCTTTTCCCTAAGTCATGGGCTGTTTCCTTATTGAGCATCTCACTATTGCTTCTAACTACTCCACACCTCTCTGTGCTCCACCTGGACATCTGCCAGCATTTCTGCGCACCCATCAGTCTGTCCCAGTTCCATCCTCTCTGCTACCACACTTCAACAATGACTCTTAGAGCAGGGGTTTCCAAGCTTCGCTGTACTTTAGAGTCGCCTAAGGAGATTTGACCCTTCTCATGCTCAGATCAAAGGAGCTCTGCTAGCGTAGTGGTTATGAATCGGGCTGCGAACCGCAAGATCAGCAGTTTGAAACTACCAGCTGCTCCATGGGAGAAAGATGAGGCTTTCTGCTCCCGTAAAGATTTACAGCCTCAGAAACCCTGTTCAGGGTCGCTATGGGTTGGAACCGACTCTATGGCACTTAACAACAACAACAACAATGTTCAGATCAAACCCTGTTCAATTTGAATGTCTTGGTGTGGAAAACAGATTAGTATTTTTTAAAGATCCCCAATGTGCAGCAAAGTTTAAGAACTACTGTCTTCAATATTTCAGTAATCTCTCTCTTCCTATGCTTCCTGTCTCCCCAGCTAGTCTGTGACTCCCTAACATCAGAGACCCCCACCTCATAGTCTGGGGTGTACCTAGCATCCTTCCTGACCGAAAGGCCCTCAGTGGGTATTTATGGGATGCATGAGGTCTGGGCTGGGCTCTCTCACATACTCTCCACTCTAAGCAGTGTTGGAGGCATGCTCTGAGGTGCCTGATAAGAGTTGGGGGGTGTCTGGGACAATGGGTGGCAGGAAGCCACAAATGCCCTATGAGTCACCTCCCAGGTAGTGGGGAAGCCAGGTCTCTCTGAGAGCAGACCTGGGCTCTCACTGTCTCCCTGGCTGGAAACAACACCTGCGGTCTTTGAAACTAAGAAGGCAGCCATTTTGACAAAGCTCAGAATCTGCAGAGGAGGACAAGTTCCCAATAATGTCCCTGGGAAGCCAACTCCTAGCACATCACAGGTGTTTTCAGCATCTGTCTGTTGTTGTTGGGGCTGGGGAGGAGGGACTGTCCTCTTGAAGATCAAAGTGGCCGGAGACAGGCTGGAACCTTGACTGGAGTGGGGTCTCTCTGTCTCCTTAGCCTCTGAGGAGTGTTTTCTTCAAAATGTTTTAAAATTGCTTATTCGTGAGCTTTCC